TGTGCCTTTTATCCGCTCACAGTTTAGTTTTTGGTAAATTTTCTCACCTCAGGAGGTGAATTTCAACGTCCTCTATACAGTGGAGTATGTTTCGGTACGTACAATTGAAGATAAAAAGGTACGTCAAACGTACTGTCAGACTGTCACCCAAACTTCTCATATAAAACAATCTCGTGTTCGTGTAGTGTCATGTGATGTTGCCTAGCAACAAATATAATTCACTGCCTGAAAATTGCTGAAAATGCATGAAGCTGTAATTTTCAGAAGTTAAAACTATGATCAATCGATTTCTTGACCCAAAAAACCCCTAACCTGTAAATTTCATCGAAATCGTTAGAGCCGTTTTCGAGAAACCCATTACATATATATATATATATATACAAACTTTGCTCGTTTAATAGTATTAGATTTTAGAAAAACTGTATTTTATTAATTAAACTAATTAAACTCAACTTAAAACTTTGATAACTAATAAATATCATTCATTTTTGTAACAATTCAACCAGATTTTCTAACACCGATGCAATTCGTGCCTTTACTAATATGTCTTCCTTCATTATTTTTAGTTTTTCTTTATAATAATTATTTTTATTTTCATTTTTTTCCTTGGATATCGTTAATAATTTATTTGATGCTTCAATTGAAGCTCTTAAATTATTTTTTTGTGTTCCTGCAGACCCTTGGCGCTTCCTCGGAGGTACAACCCTTTTATTACTTTTTTTCTCTAAAACAGGTGCGCACGTCGTTTCAGGGTCTATGTCACTACTGCCCTTTGGTTCGTTGATGAGTATTTCATCAACGATAAAGATTTCGTTGGAAGCAGATTTGTCCATATTTTCGGGTTCATCCATTTTCGCTATTTCCGGTAGATCTATCCCTGGTTCAGGGACGTCGGTGTGTCCCTCGGTTATTGTTTTTCCACCTGTCATGTTTATTCAATTAGTCTTTTTGTTTTTAAATTATGCAACAAGCACTATCAAACCTATCATATTTAAAATTCTTTCCTCTATTGGATCGAGTGCTTGCTTCACTAGTACTTGGCCCACCTCCGGTTTGTGTAGCACATTTGTTTATAGAGCTTGATTTTTTCTTTGCTCTACTTTTTACGTCACTCCAACTCTACAATTTCATGAATTTTTAAACAATTACTTTTTTATAGAGCAAACATTATTCTCACCTTCCTCCATTCTTTCCACGATTTTTGAACTCCCGGAGTAGCATTCAATTTTTCCGTGATATTTTCCCATTTTTTCCTTATATATTGGTTTGAAATTTTTTGTTTTACCATGTCCGGGTTCTTCTCGATGAATTCTAATAACATTCGCTTTTGCAAAGCGGAGTAATGCTTTTTTGTGTTCGACATTAGATAAAGTTAGAAAAGTCACGATTGTCAACAATAAAAAAAATTAGAATTGAGAGAGAAGTTATGCTGTGTTGCCAGCAAGTGCTCACCGTTTTCAAAACGACTGGTTATTGGAAAACGTTTGGCAATACAGAATACCAAATTAAATTGGCTGACGATGTGCTTGTCGCTTTGTCATGACTTTGACGTCTCACATTACGCTAAGCGTTTTCAAAACGTTACGTTTTGGTTCTGAATTAGAGAATACGCGCCCAGGACTGTAAATATTTTACTGGGTGCTTATTCTCGAAATCACACGATGTGATCATTCCCACATAGGATGGGATCGTTCATATCACACGGTTTTCTCTCAGTGTACACAGAACCGTATTCTTGAATGACAAGGGAAGAAGGATTCTCCTAATAGGAACAATATGTCCAACGTTGTCGGTTTTCAAGAGAAGACATCAGCCAATAAAAATATTTAATCACTGTTGTCCTAGTAACGCCTATCATTTATAAATGTCAAATTTGATTAAAGACGCCAATTTTTCTGTTATTAGTTTTTGTTCTTGGTTTAGTGCGCTCTTCGACAAAGAATAATAGACTATCACAGGTAAAACTTTATCTTAATAGAGAGCAATTTATGAATCATCCCCTAAAAATTTGTTTTTCATAAATTTTTTCGATAGAGATGGAAGGTAATACAAAAAAGGCGGTGAGATGTGGTTCCATAACCGCAAGACAAAAAGAAATGCTGGTGGCATTTATGGAAAAACATCCCCAATTGAAAACGAGAAAGTTTTCAAATATTTTTACCCATAAGGACGCTAGAAATTTATGGAGCGAAGTAACCGTTGTTCTGAATCAATGTCCAAACGGCAGTAAAAAGGAATGGGAGCAGTGGCGAAAAGTAGCTAATTTTATTATATTGGTTATAATAATGAGTCTAACTAAGTACATGTTTATAAAATTTAGGTATGGCAGAACTTAAAAAAAATGCCAAAGCCAAAGCTGCTTCCATTTCAAGTAATTTAAGAAAAACTGGGGGTGGGCCGGGATCCGAAGAAACAATGGACCAACTGGAGAGCAGCATTATAGATTTAATGGCTCCTACAGATATACATGGAGATATGGGTGTATCAGAGTCACAGGTCTCTTTTGAGGGAATTTCGGTAGTTGTAAGTAAAACAGCAACAAATTAAATTTTAAATATTTAAAGTTAAGTGTACCTGTATCAATAGGGCAACACTGACGCAGCATCATCCTTTAGTATTAATAACCATATAAACGACAATGTAGAAGCTTCCACATCCACGATTTCTACAATTCCCGTGAAAAATTCGAAGGCAGTGACGAAAACTAGGCGGCTCAACAAGACCCACAGATTAAAGACATCATTGCAAGCTTCGGAACGATTACTCACAATAAGTGAGAAAAAAGAGCAGTACCTGCAGTCTTATTACCAAGAAAAAATCGCTATTTTGAAGCAAGCGGAAGAAAGACGCAGAAATTATGAAAACAAAAAATTATTCTTTCTCGAACAGCAAGTTAATGTTCAACAATCGTTACTGGAAGAACTACAACAGCTAAAAACTGCAATTCTGTCCCGCAAATAACTAGGGGCCGACAATAAAATTAGATTTTGTTCGTCACTGTTCATTTATAAATTATAATAAAATAATAGTTTCAGTTAAAATGATTGTATTGATGTATTATACGCTGTTGTAACTGCCTTGCGGCAGCTAAATCCGGGTTAACATGGGCGATTTGTACATCGTCATATATTTCGTCATCATTATAAAGACCTAAGTCCGCTTGTTCCATCTCTGCGTCGAACTCTGGTTCTGGAATTCTATGTTGTAAACACATATTGTGAAGTACAACACAAGCATTAATAATTTTTGATGCCATCTGGGGACGATAGTGCAGAACTCGGTGTTTTAAAAGACACCTAAACCGATTTTTTAGAACTCCGTTGCATCTCTCTATTAAACTCCTAACACTAATGAATCGAGTGTTAAATCTTTCAGCAGAACCAGGCTCAGGATTCCTTAGTGGGGTCATTAACCATGGTCGCAGTGGATAAGCTACAGTATATACAAAAATTACGTTTTTTATTTGCATTAAGAAAGTTCATATGTATACCAGAATCACCCGCTAAAAAATATGTATCCTCAGGATCCTGACGATAGATTTGTTCCATTACATGAGACATTGCAGACTGCCTCCAAATGTAAGCATCATGGCTACTGCCGGGAATTCATCACAAACCTACAGAAAAGTTAGAATTTTCTTAAATTTATTAACTTCTTTGATACTCTTCTGTTACATACCAACTGCACATTAATGGAATGGTACTGTTTTCTGTTGACATATACATATATGTTAAGGATATAGGCCATCATGTATAACAGACCGTACAATCGCTACATGTGTACAATCGATACACCCTACAATGCCCGGTAGATGATGCTTCTGAAAAAAACTAAAAAATGTTTGAATCCAATATCTTTTTGTCATTATGCATATATCTAATAAGTACCAACCGAAGACGAAGTTGTTGTAGTTCCTCTCGATTCGCCGGGAAACGAATCCAATTATTTAATATTTGAGGTTGACATAAAGCACTAGCAACTTCTTTGATGGCCCGACTGGTACTTGCCTGGCTCAAAGACACATATTTATTTGTGCCAGTAATTTCCTGATAACTACCAAAACCAAAAAACCTAAATGCTCTTAAGTACCTAAAGTCCGTCAATACGTCATTTGCAAATCCGTCCATTTATTAAGATCTTTACCTTATGTTGAATGCTAATAGCGGAACTTCGAGATGCTTCTTGCATAAACGGTCGAATCGTTTCTATAATATTTCGCGCCAAGGCCTTATTTACGCGAAAATATTTTATAAATTTATTTTCGTCTAGTTGTTCAAAAGGATCAACTTGATGTCGTATTTGCAGTTCCCGAAGTGGACGCTCCACTTGCTCATCAGCATCATCGAGATCGTCCATGACTTGATTAAACAATGCCAGATCGAATGGGTCCAACGGATCCATTATTCTAAAACTGTTTGTCTGTTTTGTTCACAGAATAAAATTTTCCAATTTTTCAACCTTCTACAATTGTTTCCAATTGATTTAAACCACTTTGAAACAATTCAAATTAAGAAACACTTTTAAATACCACTGTAAAACTAAGTACACTAAGAACAAAATATGAACACGATACGTTGAGTATTGACAACTTTTACAAACGCCTTCTTCAAAATTTCGATCCTTCTTCCGAAAAATACCAAGAGAACAATGTTCCTACGATTTCCAGGAGATGGGAATAAGCTCCCAGTTTCAAGAATTCGGTATAGCTAATTTCGTGAGAAATTACCTCTCATTCCCTCTCTTTTCTCCCGATTTTGTGATTCCTACGATTCGAGAATAAGCACCCTGGCAGCCAGTAACATTTTTTACAGGCTATAGCCAGTTAAGTGACATTTTCATGGTGAGTACAGTGACTTGGTAAATTGATGTTTACAAGTGAGGAACAAGTAAACTGAAATAGAATATATCCTAATACTTTTGAACCCCAAGTACCTGGTATTAACAAAAAGTAACTAACATTACGGAAGACGTGTTTATTACATTTCAGTTTTATTTTGCAGTGACACAAGTGACCCAGACGAAGACAATGCAGATGATGTGAAGTCAGTGAAAACATCTGATGAAAATAAAAAGTAAGTCATACACCACATTATGTGGCATTATAGTATATTTCGTAACAAGTGTCGATATTAACAAATATCAAGCGAGTGTTTATAATAAATATACGAGTGCGGAGCGGAGTGGAGCACGAGCAATCTATTAAATATGAGCACAGATATTTATTAATTTCGAACGAGTTACGAACACTGTTTTTTAGACGACTGTAACACAATAAAAGATTTGAACGAAAGACTGAAAATTGAAATTATTAACAAATTTAAATTAGCGTATTCTGCACCCTTCAAAACAAGAAGGTAGCTTCTTTTGCCGCCTCCAATACTGCAGGCGGCGTACAAGTGATTTCTTTGTCACTATCACTCATTTGCATTGTGGCATAAAAAACTGTCAAAGAAATATCAAATTTGTCTGTCTAGTTACTTGATTTTTGAAAATAAACGTGCAAGCACAAACGTTACTAAGGCGTATCGAAGGCGATAAAAAGTTACTGATATGATAAAATACCTATTTATGGTATAAGTGAATAAAAGTGTATTTTATCTAACGAAATAACAGTTTAGCACACGAGGCGAAGCCGAGTGTGATAATGTTTTTGAGTGGATAAAATTCGTTTATTCACGTGTATCATACAAGATATTTTCCAATTTCGCAAAATTTTTCAAAAAATGTATTTTTTAGGTAATCCATACACATACATATTAACTGTACTATTACTAATATGACGAACATTTAAAGAAGGTAAATTGCCTAAGCTGCCTGTACTTTCGTCACGGTCAAATTCAAAGGATGTTCCTGGTCTTTCATTAGAATTGTTTTACAGGAGGAGGACTATCAAGCGTTGCAAATTTTAGTTGAATATCCATACATCCATAGCAACGAAAATTTCAGTGGTAGTGCGAATTTTTAGATTTTTTACTATATTCGTGTTATCAATGACAGTGTGAATAAAGTGTTGCTATAAACATTTTATTCATCCTTTCAATTAAACTATTGTTTTAATAGCGAGATTTAACATACAAAATGAGCATTTTATTAGTAGAAATTGGAAAAAGTAACTAATATGATATTCAGAACTTTCATATATAAATTGTAGTGTTGAAAGTGTCTGTTTCGTAAACAGTCGTCTAAAATAGTAGATTGTACAACAAGAGTGGATATGATGCCCATATCACCTGAGGACGTCAGTAAACACACGAATGACAGTGTGTTTACTGTCGTCAACACACAGTTTATTTCGCTCGAAGGTGATATGGACAATCCACTTGAGTTGTACAGTCTACTTTTTCTAGAACCAAGATTATTTAACGTGTTTTGTCTTGCACACCGCAGCTTGGGTGATATACAGATTGTCATAATGACGGTGATGACAATCGTAGTGATGACAACTATAAAGTTGTCTTTTGTTTAAAAAGTTAACCACACCAGTACTAACACAATATTAACTAAACCATACCTACCTGTAATTATATTCAACCAAATAAACGGTTTTCACACTACTTATACAGGGTCATTATAAAATATTGTAGTCAAGGAAGGCCATGACTTTGTTGACATTGTCTTGTTCAGTTTTGTGGAAAAGATTACACTAATATTAGAATTTTTATTTTTAACGCCACATTAGTGGCTGCACCGTTTCGGCGCCAACGCTTCATCAAATTCTGTCGGATGCCAATAATTTTTTCGTTTGTAGTACTGATTACTGGTGCGTTTTCCCACACTTTGTGCGTTAATTGACCTGTCTTGTTTTCATTTTTGCTGTCTTCTCTTTTGTTCGAACTTTAATAAGTGTCTCAAAAAACAGTTTTTACAAAACTTCAGACCATTGTGGAATAATCTCAGGTAATGAACACAGAGGAATAAATATGGTCAGTGTCACAAATGACTTTTTTACGTTAGGATGGGGACTGAGTGTACTGTGTGGATGCATCTAAAAATGAGTATCTGGTGAAATATCCTGTTGTCATTGAGGAAGAATTTTTGAAGACGCATATACTGCGAATTGTGGCCAGATTTAACGACACTGGTAGCGCTTCTAAGTGAACACCGACGGGGAGACCCCAAGCTAGTGAAGACGTTGTTGAAGATTTAAGGACGAGAATGGAACAAAGTCCGAATAAATCTTTGTCAAAATTATCTTTACAGTCTGGAGTACCATACAGCACGTGCCATACAGCACGTGCCAGAAAATCGTAAAATAAAAGTTACATATGCATCCATATAAGATTTCGATAGTTCAGGAGCTGCAACCAGCTGATTTTCCTCACTGCGTCCAGTATTGTCGTTGGTTTCAAGCTAATATGGACGATAACAGGATTCTCGATTTGTCGTTTTTTTCTGATGAAGCCTGGTTTCATCTGTCGGGCTACGTCAAATCACAGAACTTCAGAATTTGGTGTATAGAAAATCCTCAATCTTTTGAAGAAACACCATTACACACAGTAAAGGTTGGTGTGTGGTTAGCTGTTTCCAGACGACGATTCATAGGCCCGATATTTTTTCAAGTAAATGAATGTGATCGATAAACAATATTGGATGTAAAAAGTGTATGTAGGTACTGAAATAAAGTTTTTTTTCCCATTTCTACTATTACAATTCTCATTTTGTATGTTAAATCTCGCTATTAAAACAATAGTTTAATCGAAAGGATGAATAAAATGTTTATAGCAACACTTTATTCACACTGTCATCGACAACACGAATAATAAATATTATGCACCAAGTGAATCAAACATACGTTTATTCACGAGAAGATGTTGATATCACGAGCACGCAGTGCGAGTGAGATCATTTCTTCGAGTGAATAAATATGTTTGATTCACGCGGTGTATATATGTTTTTATTCCATTTTGACGAATTTTATTAATAAAATTTCAATAAATAAAAATTCGAATCGAGAAATCGTGTAAACTGCGAAACTAATTTTCGTGACAACCAGCTTAACAACCAGTTGTTTACATTTTTCTAAATTTGTAACACTGGCGGCATTTGTGTTTTCCTAGACAAAAATGTTTGGAATTTTGGAAGATAAAGACGAAAACGAAGTGTTTGTACCCTCAGCAGTCCTAGACAAAGCTTTGGAAGCTATCAATAAGGTGGTGCCAGCAAGATCCAAGCATTCATATGAAAAAGAGTATACGAATTTTTGTGAATGGAGGAAACGAAAGCATGCAAAAGGAGTAGATGAAAGAATAATTTTGGCTTATATTTCGGAACGGTCAAAAAATGCTAAATCTTCATCACTATGGTCGTATTATTCCCAACTGAAGAAGATGTTATCTGTGAAGGAAAATATTGATATAAGCAGGTTTGTGACATCGCAATGATTAATATAAGGTTTAAAATATTCATTATTATAGATTTCATCAAGTGTCAGCTTTCCTAAAACAACAGTCTGTAGGGCACAGACCAAAGAAATCCAAAGTGTTCACGCTCGAAGAAATGGAAAGGTTTTTAGATAATGCTTCTGATGATGAATATTTACTGCAAAAAGTAATTTTTGTCGTGGGAGTTTTTGGAGGATGTAGAATGGGTGAATTGGTGGCCATGTCAGTTGATGATGTTGAAGACAGGGGTAGCGTACTTGTAGTCCAAATTCCAGACACGAAGACATTATTTTGCCCATTCATCGGAAATTTAATATAAATTTTAATAATTTGAATAATTGTAACTTTTATATTTCACACTACAATGACAAAGACTAATTCAATGTTAATATTTTTGGAGAAGAAATAAAAATCTGTTCTTAATTGAAATTTTTTAATTCACTGAACGTTTTGATTCTACTAGTGAATTCAAACGCTTTGATTTCACTAGTGAATCATGAACTCCTTATGAAGGTTACTATGGAGTTAATAAAGTCAGTTTAAATTGTCAAAATGGAATAAAATAAAAAATCTAAAAATTCGCACTACCACTGAAATTTTCGTTGCTATGGATGTGTGGATACTCAACTAAAATTTGCAACGCTTGATAGTCCATCTCCTGTAAAACAAGCCTAATGAAAGTCCAGGAGCATCGTTTGAATTTGACCGTGACGAAGGTACAGACAACTTAGGCAATTTACCTTCTTCAAATGTTCATCATATTAGTAATAGTACAATTAATATTTAAACCACTTGTTTCGTCGTTATCTGGAAATGCCATTTCTTGTGTTGAGAGAAAAATAATGATATGTAATACCACGAGCAGGCCAAGTTATGTCGATTATTTTTCAAACCGTCACGAATGTCAATTGTGCTTGCAAATGAATCCACGAATGCGTTAGCACAAGTGAGATTCACAAGCACAATTGAATGAGTGAAACCAGTTTGAAAAATAGTCTACTTAACGTGGACTACGACTGGTATTCGGTAGACTAATCCAAGAGCCAACCAACCCTTCTTTTATTGAAACTGACTCAAAACACATTCAAAATAATTGTAGGCATGATTCGATTTCCATGTCAACAAATGCGAGTTCGGAAAATTAAAAAAAATAATGTTTAATAAATATATATTTTGTTGTTAATTTTAAAATATTCATTTGTTAAAAATATTCGCTCGACCACCAGTGGAATATCCGATGATATTTCCACTAGTGGAATATTCGGTAGAATTCGTTGAAACCATAGTAACAAATGTGTAAATTCGCATTTTTATTGGTTCATTTTTTACAAATGACAGGTGAAAGGAATAGTCATGTTTATTAAATGTTGTAACACAATTCTGTTTTCTCGAACAGTTTCATTGTATTTATTTATTATTTATTCGCATATGGCACTATCCAACAAATTTGCTACATTGTGTGTTCTGAACAATTTAAATTTTAGAGACGAATAAATACGCTCCTTAGAAATTTCGTGTTTGGCCAGTGTACGATGAACGTTTTTAAATTATCATAATCGCTAGAATTTTAAGGGTGCTTGAATTCCGAAAATAATAAACAATACCAGCAAAATAATTTGTTACGTGTTTCGCTGCCAGTTAATCAAGGTTATTCTCATTAACGGTCGAGGAACAGTCAGCTGTTTCACAAAAACTTTGTCGACATAAGTTAATTCTTTAAATTTATGTATCGATAAATAATTAACCAAGTCGCCATTCGCGTCAACTGTATAGCGAACAGTGTCTGTCGTGAGTTTTTATAGAAATTCCAATATACTCGTATATTTACCAGTATAATTACTAGAGACAGGCAAAATTATTCGACGCGCTAGAAAATTTTTCCCACTCCTCATTATCACCAGTCCAGTATCATGCGGTGATTACAATTACCAAAAATGCAGCGATGGACGAAGCGAATTATCCAAGTACGTTGGTAACTCGTAGATTACTACTAGTTTCAATGCATCTACTGGCCGCCGTATCTATAGCAATTGACATAGTAAAATAGTTTCTCTGCGGGATGAATTTAAAACATTAAACTATGTCCTAATTATTAGAACTCAATAGTAATTATTTTTTGTATTTATTTGTTTATTAATTTTGTATAAATTATTGTACATTTTACCGTATCAGTTTTTCAAAAATGTTACTAAAAATGTTTGATGTTCAAACAAATTTGTTTTCTTATTTCTGAAATTATTTGGTACGTCCTGGCCGACCCTGCCACCCCTAACGAGCCGTCACTGGGTTCTAGTAACGCTACAATTTTGCTTGGCGGGGGTTGGAATCGCTGTTGCGTCGTAAAGGCGGCTTCTAACGTTCCGCAGACATAAGCCAACTGTTTAATGGATCTTATCTCTTGCATTGATTAAATACATATAGATAGACCCATGCTATTGTTTGGAGCGAACAGGCCAAAGGCCGGCGAACAAGAGATGGCGCACCAACATTCGGCCGTCAAACGCCGACGAAAAGCTTGGACACCAATCACGCGCATAGGCAATCCAAATCACAGCAACAATACATTCAATAAATCTACCACTCGATAGAGGGCGACGAAAAAAATGTGTAAAAATCTCATAGTAAGCATTTAGATAAATTACAACGTTGCCAGATGAGCTAAGACAAATTTTATAGAACGAGTTAGATGTTTCAGGACGAGGCGACCGTAGGAAGCCGAGTCTTTAATTTCGAAACGAGTATACGATAAGAGTGACCGGACGTATGTCGTTATGGATTTTACTTCATACTGTCAACATATTTTTTTATTCGATAAAATAATTACTATTTTGGGAAAGAGTTCACATCGAGTCACTTTTTCTGACATCGTTAGCAACCGCTGTTTGGCAAATGTTTTAATTTGTTTATTCCTGCAAATCAGCATCAAATGTTTAAACACATAGTAACACTTTACAGGACTTGTCCTTTTTTACTCAATTGTAAAAATCATGTCGGATGTTGGAAACATTATTTTGTCAAAATCAGAACTTAAAATTTCTTTACAGTGTAACACGGGCTAGGCGCAGTAATCTTACGCGCACTCGTCTCCAGAATGCATCATGCAGATTTCACGGTGATCACTGACTATTTTATTTGAACAGAGTATAAGTTCATCAATTCTCTGTAGAAAGGAACTCACCAATTTACCGTCAAACGTAATTCCCCATTTGTATACTTGTGTTATTTTTTGCATAGCTCCTCGTACATTTGCGTTATCTGAACCTCCTTGTGACCTGTCTTCATCATAATTGCATAATTTTCAATATTTTTTTTTTGAGCATATTTATAGATATACATATATACCTACTTATCTTGGTGCCTGACTGATGAATAAACTGCAAATTACAGTTGACAACACAATAAATCCACCCCATATTTATATTAAAATAATGTTTTATCACACCGCATTTTTACCACGAAGTGAATATTTTGAAAAAGAAATTATTTTATTTTATGAAAACTAATACTCCTATTATTCTGACTAAACAAAAAAAAAATAATATTTTTTTAATTTTTTAACAATCAATATTGAGGTTATACATATAAGATAATGTTTAATAATTTATAATAGATTTTTCTCAGTGGCTGGTGTTACGTCACTGGACATTTGAATCTGGTGGGAAGCTACGCTTTATCTTATAAACGCGTTTGTGCGCACATTCCAACTTTCCTCATCGATGTACTTTCATGATGAAACAAACTCTACCAGCTTACCGAAAAATGTCAATATTCGCTTTTTCCACAGAGTGAAGCAGTGAAAAAATTGATAGTAGAAAAAGACCGAAAACACTAGAATCGCAATAATATTTGAGGATACTATACCGATGTGTATAATGAGAAACAGAACAAGAACGAAAATTAATGTTTTTTCACTAGCAGCCATGAAGCATGCAAATGTCGACTTATTTAGAGGTAGCAAAATTCAACTTTTGCGACCAAGGTTCAAAAAAGAAGATTGAGGTTATATACGAAATACTTGATGTGATTATTTCTTAAAAAATGAACAAATGTGTGCCACTAACATTAGTTGAGTATACGCATGGTAGTTGGTAGACGGTGAAGATAAAATGATTAATTCAGCGACAAGTGTAAACGGTTTTCTTTGTGTTGAAGATTTAGATTAAGTTTGACTAGAAATTAAAACAAAATCATGTTGCGTTAAAAAAGTGAACGTTTTTCAATTTATTCTCTTATGGTTTCTACTAGTGAAAAAAATAGTATATTAGCACGGTTGTAAAGCCACTTCTAGACCTCGCGCTTTAGAGCCCTCGACGCTGCGCGTCTCGGGTTCTAATTTGCGCTCGGTCTAGAATGCTTGGCTTTGCAACCTTGGCTAATAATATACTATTTTATAATGGTATAAATTTCTGTGTATAGTGAAGCATCTTGTTTCTAATAAGATTATTAATATATTTAAATTATTTTAACAGACAAAATCATAGCGAAATAGAAAAAAGACGTCGCGACAAAATGAATACTTACATTACGGAACTCTCAGCAATGATTCCCATGTGCCACGCCATGTCTAGAAAACTCGACAAGTTAACCGTTCTTAGAATGGCAGTGCAACACTTGAAGACAATACGAGGTGCAGTTCATTCATACACCGAGGGACACTATAAACCATCGTTCTTGTCTGATCAAGAATTAAAGCACTTAATACTCCAGGTAAGATTTTGTTGATTTTATTAACATAAAATAATAGTACATTATACGCCAAGGTAGTGAAGACAATCATTATGTTGTTGTAAACGTGAGGTCCATGTCGTATATACTATTTTTACTTACTCTCGAGTAAGGCAAGGAAGAATTGTAATTTTATGTATTCTCGACCTTTCATAACCCCCAGACTACGAAGAAATAGGTCTCTCGTTTCCGTCTGTGTGTCTGTCTGCCCGTCTTTCCCTCTGTCAGTCTGTCTATCTGTCCGTCCGTCGGTCTGTCCATCTGTCAGTCTTTCCTTCCGTCCTTCCTTCTAAAGAATGTTGTGTTTTGGTTTTAGAACTGGGAATTTTAATGATGAGTGAATTTCCAGTATCCTCTACGTCATCAATTTTCGTATTTTTCAATTCTTATTTCCGGCAGGCGACATTTAGAGCAATAACACAAACTAGAAACCACCTAAAATAATACATAAAATAAATGTAACTAAAAATTAATATACATACTGTTACGATGTACGGGCGATTAAAAATTGGCGTGGATTAAAACTCAACAATTTATTTCCTAATAACTCGAATTACACGACTAACTATTGTGTGAACCGGGGTTGCTCAGATACACAGATAAGATGCATTGCCCCGGATAAGGGTAAAACGCAGTGAATAGTGAATTGTGGCGATTATGTACAAATATTATTCCGGCGCATTTCACTGGGCGCTCTTGACTCAACTAGTTGAATAATCCATTCCCGACGGTCGCCTCTATTTAAATCCATACTTCTCCGATCGAGATCTTTCTCGAATATTCATCGCGACTCCGCTTCGAGACTTCCGGTAACCGGCGCCAGACTTGTCTTTATGCGTCCGCCGCTCGGCCGTCGATGAGTTCATCGACACACATACTAAAAAAATCCATGACATCGCACCGGAGCGGTTATGAGTTTATTTCGTAACAATACTTTCATAATTCATAAATAAATATTTGCTAGCAGATGCTCTCTTCAAAAAATTTTGAATTTGTTGTGAACTTAATATTCGCGATTTTTAACTTCTAAACTCTTCAGATTTTCTTAAGAAAAGCAACTAATTTGGAATATGCAGCGATGTTTATATTGTCCTTAATGATAACAGTTGCTCCCAACACCGAGTACATGGCCCATAGTGAACCGGGGTTGCTCAGATACACAGATAAGATGCATTGCCCCGGATAAGGGTAAAACGCAGTGAATAGTGAATTGTGGTTTATGGTTTTTAAAATACCATCTTACCATGGCTTAGATTTATTACCCCTCAGGATTATATTTAAAGATGTATAAGTACTGAAGGCTACAATGTAGGAAATGGTGGTATTTAAAATATGAAAATTTCCGTGACAGAACACTATTAGTGGACCTCTTACCTCTATTTTTGTTTATGTGACCAAAATCACCAACATGAAGTATCAAAAATTACTACTAGTATAACTCAACTAATAACTACTGAAAAAAAGTGAAATAAAAAATTGTATCTGTATCTGCGCCATTAATTTTGCATCTAGATACAGATATTTTGTGCATAAATTCGACTATATCTAGATAATTTTTTTAGATACAAGTATCTAGATACTGCCAACATTGACTATAGAACCAATCATTAAAAAAACGCCATAACTTAATTTATATTTACCACTGAACCAAATCCAAATTGAAACGTCAAAATTGACATTACTACTTACTTGATTTAAAAACCATGCCTTCGCAGATACTACACACCGTTTTGGGGAACTGTGTGTAATATTTATGTAAGGAGTCCATACGCGACTTGATTTGATGTATGTGTTGAGTTGAGTTTAATATGATAGGAGTAGAAAATAGTAAGTATATTATTACATGTATTTCATAAGTGACTAGCTGACCCCGTGAACTTCGTTTCACCTACAATTTAATTTTGAATCTGCAAAAGCGAATGCTTTGAAATCTCTCAGATGTTTTAAACATAATATGATAAGCATAATAAATTTTTATTCAAAATATATTTACTAATTCCCTCCAAAACATTAATGACGTCAGCCCAAAATTGTGCCAAATGAATCCTATCTAAAATGTCCAAAGTATGATGAGACTGTACTATACTTGTGATTTATCATTCCATTCATATTTTTTAGTTTTGCTTATAGAGAGTGTCTCAAAAAAATTAATCACTGAGTCAATTTATTTTATTGATTAAACAAGAATTGCAAAAATGAACTTTGAAAAATTGCAGACGTTTTGAAGTTAGTGTTTGACATGGTAGGTTTTTAATCAAAATATATCTGTTTATCAAGCCCAAAAACCTGATGACGTCATCTGAAGATTTTGCCGAATAAATCCTATCTAAAATGTGCAAAATATCATCAGTATATTTTCGTAATTTATCATTGCATTCAAATTTTTTAGATTTGCTTTTACAGTGACTCAAAAAAATATATGGATCAGTCAATTTATGTTAGTGAATAACTTAAGAGTTGCAGAAATCAATACTTTGAGATCCTGCAGACGTTTTAAAGTTATTGTAAGCATGGTAACTTTTTAATAAAAGTGTAGTTAGGATACGCTTGTTCGATTATGGAGTTCTAGTGGCTATCTTACGGCTCCATCATCAGATTAGCTCGGTCACATTCGAAATTATTGTACCGTCATCCAAATTATTCATTTTTGTTCTCAGGAGTAGCGGACAATTTAACGGTAAATGTCACACACTACTTTTGTGACTACTGTCAAGACTACGACTGCAGTCAAATTTTGTGACATACGGCAAAATTTAGAGAGTAGGGTGAACCCCCACTGTTCGATAGTACCTGATTATTGTATTGTCATCCAAATTACACACCCTTGCAAATTTTCAAATCGATACGATAATTAGAAACAGGTTAAAATCGAGTTCCTAGATTTGTTTACATAATTTGTTTATCACAAATATGGTACTAGCTTTTCGCTGGCGTAGACGATTCGTTGTGTTGAAGAACATTGTTACCAACTTTAAAGTAAAAAATATGTTGAAGCCCATTAATACAAAGTTTCAACTAAAAATTGGCATACAAATACTTTTCCTCATACAAACTTTATCACCCCCTTTCGTTTTCTTAGATGTGGAAACTCGAAAAAATCCGAAATACGTGTTTCATTATTTGTGTTAAAGAATATTAATATCAAGTTTCACGTAAAAATGTAAATCTACAATACAAATATTTTCCCACACAAATATAGCCACCACTTTTCCGACCCTTTGGGGTTGAATTTCGGAAAATGCTTAAATCAATGTTTCATTATTTGTGTTGAAAACCATTAATACCAAGTTTTAAGTAAACATCACCATAAAAAGATTTTTCCCATATAAATTTAGCCACACCCCATTTTACCACCTTAGGGGTTGAATTTCGGACAATACTGAAATACGTGTTTTATTACTTGTGTTGAAGAGCATTAATACCAAATTTCAGGTAAAAATTTAAATTTACAATACAAATATTTTTCCCATACAAAACTGAGCCACCACATTTCACCTCCTTAGGGATTGAATCTTAGAAAATGCTTAAACAAGGGTCTCATTATTTGTGTTGCAGCATAATAATACCAAGTTCCATGTAAAAATTTAAATTTACAGTAGAAATATTGTTCCCATACAAACTTAACCACCAGAACTTAGCCATTAAAACTTAGCCACCACTTTTCACCCTTTTAGGGGTCGAATCTTGGAGAATGCTTAAATATGTGTTTCATTATTTGTGTTGAAGAGCATTGATACCAGGTTTTAGGTAAAGATTACCATAAAAACAAAATTTCCTCCCATGCACACCCCTTTTCACCTCCTTAGGGGTTGAATCTCGGAAAATGTTGACATACGTGTTTCATTATTTGTGTTGAAAAGCATTAATACCAAGTTTCATATACAATATTGTCTTTGCCATTTCTATTGAAACACCACCTGTTGATTTTGCTCAAAATTTAGCGATTGGTAACAGCTTTCGGTTGATTGACAACGGCTTTTAGTTAGAAAATTGTCTGAATATGAACGTTGCCAAATTTACGATTAACAAGTGGTGTTTCAATAAAAATGGCAAAGTCTATATGTAAATTTACAGTATTGGTCCTATACTAATTTTACCGCCCCTTTTCACTCTCTTAAGGGATGAATTTCGTGAAAATTCCTAAATCATGCCTCCAGTATAAAATGAACATCTTTCCAAATTTCAAATTTCTATTATAGGTATATTAGCGGTTTGAGCTGCGCGTTGATAGGTCAGTTAACCGGGACATTATCTTTTTTGTCACTGTATACCGGCTGCCTGGAAAGTAGCGGTACGTTATGTACGGGGGTTTCGAGAGTCCCAAAAATAAAATAATAAAAAAATTCTTTATGATGTATAGTCTTTGCCATTTCTATTGAAACACCACTTGTTAATCGTAAATTTGGCAACGTTCATATTCAGACAATTTTCTAACTAAAAGCCGTTGTCAATCAACCGAAAGCTGTTACCAATCGCTAAATTTTGAGCAAAATCAACAGGTGGTGTTTCAATAGAAATGGCAAAAAAACGCAATTCTATAAAAGTAAACACTGCACGTACCTAATGCGTGAATACCTTCAGCCTACTTTCTGATTTTTTAGTAACGATGGTGATTGAAATCCACCTTTTATTTTATTTAGGAAAATTACCATCGCAACCAGTTGTTATTAATCGTTGGGCATTGTTATCTATGTATTAATAAAGCAAGATGTTATTTTTCATTAATTAATAAACCAAAAAAAAAAATTTTAATAAGACAATCATAAATTATGAACAAAAACAAAAGCAACAAAATAAAAACCCATGAAAGCATAATCGACTAAACACAAGAGAAGATGTTCAAAATTCCTGCCTTGTGCATGTAAGTAAGCTTGTAAATTGTAATGTTTCCAAATTTTGATCATTTTTTTGTGTACAAAATTTTAGAGGTAAATCGTAAGCTCCGTGAAGGGAAGGTTATACATTGTTGTTGTAATGATACG